AATCCAATGGGAAAACAGTTATAATCTCCTGTTTATATTGAAATGAATTTTTAATACAAATTAGTTTTAAAAACTTTTCAGCAATATGTACATTAATCATTAATGTAATTTTAGGCATAAATTAAATTTTGCGCTATGGCTAATTTTTTAGATTTTAAAACCTACAGTACGATTAATTAGCATAGAATATTTTTGTGTGCAGTAATTACACTTTGTAATTTACAACACATACTTAATTATTAAGTCCATTGCCAATAAACATAGTAATATATTTTTAATTTCTAATTATATAATATAGCATAATAAAAAGTTATTTAATAATTAATTTATGTAATTGCAAACATTTTAATTTGTGAATGTATTAAAAGCATCACATTATAAATTTATACGAATTAGTATAAATTTTTATGGAAATTCATGATAATAATTCCATGGTATAGTTTTTTCAAAATTTTAGTATATCTTATTATTTATGTAATTTAATATTATTGATATATTAAAACTAACTTGTCATACAAAGTGTATCGATCATACTTAACATCTACTTAACATATATCTTATTTTTAGAAACATTATTATTAAATAAAGTATTTTATTTAAATAATCATTATATAGACTATGTAGAAAATTAAAATAATTAACGAATATTTTTAACAATTAAATATTTGAATAAATAAAAACAAAATAATTCATAGATTACATAAAATATATTTGGGATGACGTTATTAATGCTTTTAAAAAATAAAACATAAAATATAATTTATCAATTTTATATTTGGTATAAGAAACAAATTGATATTTATATCATTGCTTGACTAATGTTTGTATATTTATCATGTAATAAGGGGTAATACGTTTTACATTTATAAAGGTAAAAAATAAAAATATTCACTCGGAATAAATATTTTTGGAAGTAAATCTTTTTGGGCACATTTAAGACTAAACATTAATATTTATAATAGTAAATAATAAAGTAACAAGCACTAATAGTTTCTTTTAATGTTTATTTAAATAAGGTAAAATTTATTTATTATATTCATATGTGTTATGTTATTAATAATGTAGGAATATTTAGCTTATTGTAAATTACTAAATAAACTAACAAATAGCTCCCAGAATATTCTGTAAATGGCAGTAAAATTATTATTAATATATTTCATTAAATAATATAAACATATTTTCTAAATATTTTCTAAGAAATACTTGTCTTAAGCATATTTAGCACAATTAGGTAAATATGTGATTTCAATTAACACACAATTTACACCCAAAGGGATTTCAACATAATATGAAAATAATCTGTAAATCTTATTAAAAGGCAAAATATAGCTCTTAAATAACAGACATGTCTATCGGGAAAACGTAATTGAATTTAAAGTAATCTTATTATTGTTATAATACTATTATTTTAGCAAAAAACACATCAAAACAAATATGGATTTAGATTTGGCTAATATTTTATATACTAATTGTATTAAACGTATTAGAAGTTAATAGAAGATCTTCCTACGCTATGCTTTTATAGTATTATCTTAATTCTAATACTTACTATTATAATAAAAATAACCAGGTTAAATTTGATAAAATTTATACCTTTTTCATTTATGATTAGATTATATGACGATTTCAAATCATGAGAAAGAGAGAGAGAGAGAGAGAGAGTATGGTTACCATAGATGGAATAGATTGAGTGAAAATATAACTAGCTTTATCAATAATTCAAATTAGTTGATTAGGTAACAAAATAACGAGTGATTTATGATCTCATGTAACCATAAACTAAGTATCGATCGGATTGATTGCTATTTCTTGTTATTTATTCACTGAAAAAACATCTCAAATATACAGTAATGAGTTTTGTGGACCAAAGATAAAATAATTCCACATTTTGTATACAAATTTGTATACAAAATATTCAATAATATCCAATCATTATAATAAAAAACAAAATATAAATATACTTTATATATAAATAATTCATTGCACGGGTGGTTATTATGGGCAATCTGGTCTATAACGCAAATACACTACCTATTGACTTAGCTCGCATACGGAATAGTAATATAATAAATAACCAGCGTTAATTTACTCGCATTAACATGTAATGACACACTGAACATTTACAGTAAATTAAATTTAATTATCTAACAGAGCATAATAATTAAAGAAATACTGTCCATATGAGATAATGAAATAAAAACTAATAAAAAACTAATCAAAACATGGTAAAACATGGCACAGACACGCAATCAGTTATACAGTACACATTACATACCATACGCTGGACATAGCCAACCAGTGAGTGGTAAAAAATATGAGACTATCGTAAGTGATGAGCTCGTAGTCGGTCAGCAAATGAAACACATTGAGTGGTAGCCAACACACGGCGAACACGGTGACCACCATAATGAGCATGTTGATTCGCTGCCTTAACCGGCGATTATGAGTCGACCGTTGGTTATCATTCACTTCGCCAACGGTTCCCTTACGCCACAGGAAGAAACTGATCCGCAGATAACAGCCACACGTCAACAGTATTGGTATGAGATATTGGCTGAGAAACGAGATGAGTGTCAGCCGTTGCCGGAACTGTTGGTGCGGCTCCGGGTAGGCGACCCGGCAGCGGACTAGCGGCTCGTCCAACGAGTCCAACACAATCACCCGGTTGTAAATGCCGTGCGGTATCGAGAAGACAGCGCTGGCCAACCATATGATGATCGTTATGCGGCCATAGGGTAGGCACTGACCGAAGCACTTGTCGTTCAGGTGTTTATTATGTATGATTGACTTGTATCGTTCAATCGCTATAAACATCATGGTCAGCGATGAACAGTGTACAGACATTGACTGTATGAACGGCACCAAAACGCACAGCGTTTCGCCAAATGGCCAGTTGTCGAGCACAAAGCGGGCGATATTGAAGGGTATGTTCAAAATGGTCATCAATAAGTCGCTGACGGCCAGATTGGCGATGAGTTTGTTGGTAGTGGTGAGTCCGGAGCCGCCGGTCCGCTGGCGCCGTGTCTTCGCGAACAACACTTTGCACACCAATAGATTACCGATGAGTGAGACAATCACTATCACTGAATAACTGGTGATAAGTATGACATTACGCTCGCCGTCCGATATTTCGTCCGTCGCCTCCATTTTGGCCAAAGTGGACAACAGCTCGTCCAACGAATCGCCGGCCCCTCGGCTTAGGCTATAATTAATTGGTTTATCCATTATTTGGCGCACAATATGTATAATTTGTATGAGTTTTATGTTTAATAATCTATTTTTGTACGACTTTTTGACAAACAGGGAAGTTATCTCTTGCCGTTCAAACTTTGCTTTCCGTATTTCTCTATACCTTTATTATTACGAAATATTTAATACGATTTGAAAGGCTTTTAGATATAAGTTTGGGCAACATTTTCTTGATCTCCAGAACTTTAATACTTATATTGAAAACATTGGATTAAATTTTTTTATATAAAGTAAACGTTGAGAGAGAGAGAGAGAGAGAGAGACTCGAGATATTTGAATGAATTATACATTTAGGCTATTTTTGTTTAAGAGGGGAAATCATGGATAATTGTGTGTATAACGTTTATAAATAAAAATGCATGTA